CCTTCTCCATTCTCCTCTCGGGATCTTGGGCACATACGCACCCGGCGTGAGTTTTAAGCCACCAGGTCTGGGACACGAACCGCGGTCGACTACGTGGGAGTCCAGCGACATAGCCATTACGCTAACTGCTGGTCCTGGAAAATTCTGTTTCTCGATCCAGGGGCTGGAGAAAGGATGTACTGAGGTGTGTGGGAAAAAGTCTCTGTGAATTGTGTACTTGTGATAAGTATCATTTTTACCATGTTTAAATTTTAAGTTGAAAACCATCAGATTGCCCGTCAATCCCAGGATGCAAGAGGGGCCCTCCGCTTATCCTGCCTGTCCCACCGAACGCAAGTTCAGTGTGCCCACTGGGTTCTCTGCTTTGCAGGGAGGCTGCCGCCAGGGTCTGAGCACTGCAGTGGCGTCAAGGTGAAAGCTGTGGCCCCAGGGTCCACCACGCTCCTTGTGAGCTACAAACACGGCCATGTCCACCTGAGTGCGAGGATCACCATCGCGGCCTACCTGCCTCTCCAGGTGAGCCGGAGGGCCCTGTCCTCAGCCTTTTCCCTTTCCTGTTGCCAGTTACTCGCTCGTCGGACAATTCGCGTCCCAGCTCTGTTCAGAATAACTTGGAACAGTGCTCTCTCCCTGTGGTTTTAGACTGAAAACAGGAATTTGTGAAGAAGGAGCTGAGCCTCCTGGGTGGGGGACAGCGGCCACTGATAGCCACGTGATTCCATGTGACAACTCTGGGAAGGTTTGGAGGGCACTGTCCACCATGCCAGGAACGTGTGCCCTGAGGGCTTCAGAAGTGTTTTCAACAGGGTCCGAACCAAGGGGCACTTCTGGTCCACACTAGGATTGCCCATCGGCGTCCCCAAAGAACCCTAGGCTTGGGACAACCACCCCATGGCAGGGCAAGCCCTGGGCCCCCAAGACCTGGTCAGGAGCGGGCTCCCTCCCGAGGAGAGAAGCGGGGTGCTCTGTGATGTCAGCTACCTTCATTTCTCTGGGCCTCAAATCTCTGACTGAAATGGGGCCAAGATGGCTACTCCTCCAGGGTCATGGGGAGGGGGGGCTGAGCTGATGGGCCCTGAACAGTGTCGGGAAGGTCGTGCACACTCGAAAGGGTCAGTGACTAAACCACGAGGGAGAGCCGGCCTTCCTGCCAGCGTGGCTGTGAAGGCGTGGCACGTGGCTGCCGTGCAGAAGGCTGGCGCGTGTCGTTGTCACTGACCGTGACTGAGCCGGCCTCTTACACAGGAGGTGCCGTAGGGCAAGCTGGTGGGGAGCTCCGGCCCCCTGGGAGCCGCCTGACGGGTGGTCCCAGGAAGCCCCCAGCCTTCCAGGTAGAGTCAGTCAGCCCTAGAATGTTCCTGACACCCAGTGTAGGCCTCGGGGGCAGCTCTGGTCCCCATGGTTTGTGATGTTTTCCTTCATCCTCTCACTTTTTAGAAGCAAGCTTCCTGGGGGCCGGCAGGTGGCGTGGTGCTTAAGGGCACTGGACTCCCACGTGGCTGACCATGGTTCGAGTCCCAGACCTGGCGGCTTGCTTTCTCACTTTCTCTCTCTCTCTCTCACTCATTCACTCGCTCACTCACTCTGTCCCTCTCTGGTCAGATTTTAAAAAGTCAATCAATCAATCAATCAATTCTTAAAAAAAAAAAAAAAAAGAATATGACACAAGCGTCCTAACATTTAAGATCTTTCACCTCTGAACCCCCAGCCCCAAGCATAGTGCCTGATGCTGAGCAGACTCTAACTCAGAGGGGTTCGTTGGGAATGGGCTGGTGAGGACATGTGACCAGGGCCTCCAAGCCAGGGCTGAAACCAAGGCCTCCTGACCCCTAGACCCAGACCAGCAGATACTTTGTCGACGTCTCCGAGCTCTCCAGCTTCCCCCTGCTCCACCCACCCACGTATCCAGCACAGATGTCTGAATACCTGCTTTGTTCCCGTCTCTGCTCCGGCCCTCCGATGCCACAGCGTAGGAAACAGAAACCCTTGCCATTCTAGCAGAGAGAGAGAGACAGGCAGCGAGCAAGAGAGCATCAGTGTCGAAAAAATGTAGCAAGCCAGGAGTGGAAGAAACTGCTTCAGCATTCTGACGGTGACCGGTGAAGACCCCACAGCGGCCCAGCCATGGTGGGGCAGACAGCAGCCTGAGGGTTTGCAGGGCTGGAAGCCACAGGGCTGACCGTGGGTTTCGATTCCTGGTTGACCCCAAACATGCCAGGCATGGGCGGGCCAGTGTTATGGTGGGTTGGAAGGCTGGAGGAGAGGACACTGCAGTGTGAAAAGGCCCATTGAGGGTGCCTGTCCCTCTTGCCCTCTTTCTTAGGCACACATATATGCACGCACTCTCATGAAATAAATTTCTTTTTTATTTTTTGGAGAGGCTTTTGCTATAGGATGCGTGCGCTCACCAGACAGACACAGAGAGACAGAAAGCGAGAAATCACCCCTCAGGGGGGATGGCCACGCCGCAATCCCTTCTCCTCCATTCTCTCGGGATCTTGGGCACGCATGCACACGTGCCTGGCGTGAGTTTTAAGCCACCGGGTCCAGGACGCAAACCACGGCTGACTACGTGGGAGTCCAGCGACATAGCCATTACGCTAACTGCTGGTTCCTCATGAAATCAACTTAAAACAAACAATGCACAGAGAACATCGTACTCCGTGGTGAAAGACGGGAAGCTTCGCCACTAAGATCAGGAATAAGAAAAGATGCCTGCTTGGCCTCCGTGACTCGGCCTCGTATCAGAAGTCCTAGCCAGGGCAGTGCAGCGAGGGGAGACCGGGCACGCCTAGCTCTGGCTCCTTCCTGGAGGGTCCCCGGTGCATCAGAGAGTGAGGACTTAGTTCTTTCCATTTCACCCCAGCTCCTCTGGGCCTTCACAACATCTGGGGCTCACCTGATCTCATCTTATCCCAACCCGGGTGAGGCTCGGCCGACCTGCCACCAGCGCCGCGCCCCACCC